AGAAACTAGCCAAGAAAAACTACGATTGGAAATTTAGGGTATTTACCTTTCCTTCTTTTATCTAGCAAAACAAAAAACCAACTCTCACCTACTTATATCTCACATTTTTATGTTCTATATACAATACTACAATTAATGGGAACTTAAACTTGATTTTCGAATTAAACAAACAACAACAACAAATTCAACTCTAAAAGGAATATCCATGGCAATAACTCTCATCCTCTCAGATATCTCTCATTTCTCTCACTCAACAAAAAAAAAAATACGAAAAAAGGAAACCAATCGAATTAAATCTCTCCCTGGGTCGACGTCTCTCGGTTAACAACAACATCAACAAGTTTCTCTAGAGATAAATTCGCTTTTTGTCTGCCGCCTGCATGTAATACCCAAGAAACCCACCCGCAAAGACCTATCCCTACCCCGTAAAAACTGATATTTAAATTGGCAAGAAAAATTACTAAAATTTTCCACATTTTCCCCGTCACCGTTTAATTTGATTGTTTTTGGCTTTTGTCTCGTTTTTGGCAAACGCTGCAGTGCAAAAGAGAAATTAAATTGAATAAGTATGAAAATGTACATAATTAATCCACAAATTGTAATAAATATGTATTGTATTTTGTGTTGTGCTGTGTGGATCGTTGATTTGATCCGTTGATTGTTGTGATCTTGCACTTTTGGGATCCCCTACTATCGGTGCCTGGCAACAGGGCTCGTCTTTTGGTTCTACTTGTTGAGTTTTTCCACAGATAATCCATATTTTTGACGTCAATAAAAGGGGGCTGTGAACCCGGGGGGTTAAGTTCGCGAAATGCACAAATATTTTTCATTGCTGTAACTGATACAACAATCTATAAATCTATAAGCAACTGTAGAAAAACATCAAATAAATTTCATTGAACTGAAAATGAGGTTCTCGACATTGAGCGCTGAACATTGAATTGAGGTCTTGCTGATAGAATGAATTGATGATGCCTTTTCCTTACATATTTCTTCAATCTTTGCTAACTAATAACTAAACCTTAGAGAAGACACTCCCTCATCCTCGACACAACCTGTCCTCCTCATCCGTTTTCCAAAAGCTAATTTTAATTTTAAAATTCTTAAATTTTTCAATTATTCTGACATTTTTATGTTCTCTTCTTTTTTCTGTTTCTTTTTATAATCTCCGTATATCTCTGTATCTGTCTCTCATCAAAAAATAAAAACAAAAAAATTAACCAAATACCAAAAAAAATTTTGATCGTAAACTTAGGAGTTTTCAGCCAAACAATATACTGTGAGTAGTCGTGAGTGCCAGTGCCGCTCCTGCCAAAATGTTTGGATAAATGGGTTATTTATCCCCCCCCCCCCCCCTGGCATTATTCTTAGTGCTGCTGCAGAGCGCGAAAGTTAAATAAAATTGCTTCGGACATTTGCTTTGTTGCGTTTGTTTTACGTTTTGATCCCCTTGAATTTACACCCTCCCCACATGATGATTTTATCCACAAAACCCTAAGCCAAACCCAATTCCATTCACAAATATTAAACGTAATTTTGCATGCAAAAAAAAACAACAAACAAAATTGGGATAAACAGAAAAGCACTTCCGTTTCCGTATATTAAGCAATCAATAAATAAATGTATCTCTAATTGAAGTTGCACTCTCATCATATGTATGTGGGGTGAGGCAGGGGAGGGCTCTCTCATCAATGGTCTTCGCTCTCAGCTCATCTTTTGGGGTGCACCAAACTGCACACATTTATTTGTCCTTTGTGTTGTCGCAAGCGAAAGTCTCTTTTGTCTATATATTATATATTGGAACGTTCAGCCTCTTTGTTGGTTTTTATGTGTATCTATATCCTATACTATATGTATGTGTGTCCATGTTTGATTTTTAATTTTCATGGTTTACTTTACTCATAATGCCTCTAGCCCGTAAGGCCCACCACACACCTCCGCATAGGGGACAGTCCCACCTTACTAGCTGCGCTAATGTTAACTTTCCATTGCCTCTCTTTTTCCTACGCTGGTCAATGCACAGAGTCGTGCGCCCATCTCGGCCAAATTGGTGGCCAACATGCTGTCCGTTGCCGGTGCCGATCACATTATAACCATGGATCTTCATGCCTCACAGATTCAGGTAAGTTCAATTGAAATAAACCAAATGGAAGTTAGAGCTAAGGGAAGAGGGAAATTTAATATTATATATATAATATAATATTGCCAGTTACTTTAACATGAAAATAAAGAAAGATTTAATACAGGAGAATGTGTATATGTATGGATATGTTGTCAGTGGAAGCTTCTTGTTATCGTAGCATTTCTGCGAGGTCTATTCCATATCGATATTTGATTTATCAGCAACTCATTAGCGATAAGGAAATTTGCTTTTATTTGATATCCAATTTGCACAGCTTCAATAATTTAGTTTCTTAAAAAACCAAAACCAAAATGTATAAAAAACCAAAAATTAACCTTATAAATAAATCTGTTTTGGGCAGGAAAGTATAAAATATCATTAAAAATAACATTAGGGGGAGATCTGCAAGCTAAGCTCACCCAATCGGAAGGCTAAATTACTACTAAGTTGCTGGGGAAATGATTTGATCATCCTCATTGGGTAGACTCTCGGGGCGAACGAATAGTTCATGGAACAGCCACTCTATTGCTCCCACCTTGCCTTCAGCAAGCTCCTTCATGTCCGCTTCGGACAGCTTCAAGTTTAGTTTTTTAAGAACCGTAAAATTAAAAACTTTCCAGTTCTGCAACTTATTGGCCACACTATTTCGTGCTTGTGCGTAGGGATTCAGGTCCACCAGACGGGTGTAAACCCTCTTGACAATTGTGGCCACAGGAAGGACATCGGAGAGTTCGCGTCTTTTCTTGGCATTTATATCGATGCGATACTTCGCGAGCCACAGATTCAGATTTCTGCGTTCATCGGAATCAAGCAGACGAACGTGTAACATTTTGTGGGAATTTCGATTTAAGGGAAATAACAGCAATTTTTTGTAGGGATTTGAATGGTTTTGGCTTCCAAACTGATTTAATATTATATTTGTTTCACAATGAATACTTGATGATATATGGTTTTATTTTCTTTGGTTCGCCAGGGTTTCTTCGATATACCAGTTGATAATCTCTATGCCGAGCCAGCGGTACTGAAGTGGATCAAAGAGAACATTCCCGAATGGAAGAACTCGATCATTGTCTCGCCCGATGCTGGCGGTGCCAAGCGGTAAGTTTTTCCACACCAGCTTATATATATTTTGTAAATCCTTATAATTGATTTTAAATGTTCTCTCTAGTGTCACGTCGATTGCCGATCGCTTGAATGTGGAGTTCGCTTTGATCCACAAGGAGCGTAAGAAGGCCAACGAGGTGGCCTCGATGGTGCTGGTGGGCGATGTTAAGGACAAGATTGCCATTCTGGTCGATGATATGGCCGATACATGCGGCACCATTGTCCATGCTGCCGATCGTCTGGTCGAGGCTGGAGCCACGAAGGTATGGACTACTCAAAAAGGGATCAAAAGTTCTCTTTCAATGCAATTTTACCATTTCAGGTGTATGCCATATTGACACATGGCATTTTCTCTGGTCCGGCGATCTCGCGGATCAACAATGCCTGTTTCGAGGCTGTCGTTGTGACCAATACCATACCACAGGATGGACATATGCGCGATTGTCCCAAGATCCAGGTTAGTCCTTATCTAATCATTCATATTTTTCTCTCGCTTAACCTTCTCGTTTCTCATTGCAGTGCATTGATGTATCAATGATGTTCGCTGAGGCCGTCAGACGGACACACAATGGCGAAAGCGTGTCATATCTCTTCTCAAATGTTCCATACTAAATCCACCACTAGAGCACCAACTTAGAGCAGCAGCAAACAACACAGAAAAACCACAACAAAAACAACACCCATAGCAACATAAATAGCAACTTAAAATGCAAATTATTGCAATACCAACAACATAACAACTTGAAACACAAATATTTTGCCATCATCATCGTTATATATTTTTTATGGATTAACTATTGTAATTAAAAGCAAAAGCAAAATGCCACTCAGAGTAGATCCGGGGGAAGGGGGATGAAAATCATTATGTAATTATCTACTGAATAGATTCTAAATATAACACACACACACATACACACACACACAAAAGTACACTATTTCCATTGCTTTCCTTTTGTATATTAAGAGTTTTGTTCAATCCCCTTTTTTCCGATTCTCAAGATAATTCCCCATTTAAATTACACATTGGCCTGCTCTTAGAGAAAAATTTAGATTTATAGATTTAAAACAAAAAAAAACAAACACTGTAGAAGATATATATATACACCCACACACACACACAAACATACCCACAACAAGAATATTGTAATTTTACACTGTGCAACAAATTTTTGATGATTCTTTAATGTAAGTTCTTGAAAAGAGAAGCAACTAAAGCAAAAAGAAAACGCAAAACGCAAAACAACTTGCAAGTTCAAAGTAAAACAACAACAAAAACAAATTCTAGTAAAATTAAGTAAAACAAAAGATAAGAGAAAACAAAAAGAAAGCAAATAGGCGTTAAAAAAAAATAATTAACAACAAAACAAAACAAAACCCACAAATATAAAAAAACCTAAAGAAAATATAAAAAAAAATATTACAGAAAACCAATTAAAACAAGTTTTACTCGACAACAACGATGCCGATCTAAAAAAGAGGATGAACAATTGGACTCTGAACAGATCTACGCACATCTATAAAATATACATAATCAAAGATGCAGTAAGTATTCATAAATAATTCCATTTCATTCAAAAAATAAATCAACATAACATTAAAAAATATATATATAAGATCATCCAGAAATTCCAAGCATCTAAATAAAGTTAGTAGGAAAGTATTTAAATTACCACCTGATGGATCTCTGTGAACGAAGCCTACGAAATTTCGCGAATCTCGGGATTTACATAAATCGAAATCGGAAAGACTCGATTAGATCCAGGGACCTGAAGTGCTACAAAAGTTGGTCCATATTTGGTTTACGATTTGAATGCAAGTACATTAATGTCGCCGACAGTTTGTACGTCTGGGTCATTATAAGGTTTATACGGTTATCCTTTAAAGCAATAATGTCTTCCAGATATTTTGATTTCTCCTCTAGTCTGCTAATAAATGCGTCCTTTGCCGAGCTTTTGCGCATGGCCTTCTCGTAAATGTCGTAAGGTACAACTTTGAAAGGTTGCTCCAGTTTTTTTCCGTTGATCGTTTGTCCCGCGTCAACGATTAGCATCTCGGACAATGCCAGGATTGGAGCAGGCCTTGACATATGGTTAAAGGTCAGTGCCCTTGACTTCAACCACTCGCGGGTGCTCTTCAGCGATTCGTTTGGTCTTTGCAAAGATTCGTTCGGCCTCTGTAACGTTTCATTGGGAATTTGCAAAGATTCTTTACATTCCTTCATGGACTTGCTGGATTTCTTAGGCGGCTCTTTCGCTTTCTTGGGTGCCTTGGCGTTGGTGTCTGCTACGAAAAGGGCGTAGAACAGCAACTCTATCGCTCCTATTTTGCCTTGGGCAAGATCCTTTATTTCTGCTTCTAACAATTGTATGTGCAGTTTCTTAAGAACCTTCAGGTTAAAAACCTCCCAATTCTTTAACTTGAGAGCCAAACCGTTCCGAGAGGGTGTGTAGGGGTTAAGGTCCACCAGACGGTTGTGGAACTTCTTGACAATTGCAGCCACTGGTAGGACATCGGAGAGTTCGCGTCGTTTATTCACATTCAGATCGATACGCTGGTCCTTAAGCCAAAGACTTAGATTTCTGAGTTGATCCGAATCAAGACGCCGAGTGTACGACATGTTGTAGGAATTTCGATATATAAGAGCATTTAATTTATGTAACGATCTATCTGAGAATTTTCGTATTCCGATATGATTTGAAATGAAGTTCGTATGTGCCAATGAAAACTAGATGATTATGATTCCTCAATGATGTTCGCCAAGAGCGTACAAAGAGCAAAGATATTGATGGTGATCTTTTAGAATATTCCAATTTGCATAGTTTCTATACCAGATGGAATCTTTACTCCCACAATTCTACTTATGAACTATTCTTTAATCTTTTGCTTTGGATTTCAATATACATTTTTAACTTAGTGTTTACTTATGTATTTTATGTACGGATTGCAAAAGTTCCTATTTTTCCTTATCTCAAGCCCCGAGCCTTGCAAAATCCATCTCCAAATACATTTCATTCGTTTCCAGACGATATTTTACTTTATTTACATAATTGAGATGAAATATTTAGTATTGTTCGGTCTGGTCTCAGTACTCATCGAAATCTTCGTCATCGCCGGCAGCTTCGTCCGCATTGTCCAGGCCGACCTCCTCGAAGTCGCGCTCCAGCACGGCAATGTTTTCGCGCGCCTCTGTGAACTCTCCCTCCTCCATGCCCTCTCCGACGTACCAGTGGACAAAGGCTCGCTTTCTGAACATCAGATCGAACTTGTACGACAGATTAGAGAAGGCCACCGAGATGGCCGTGGTGTTTGAGAGCATGCAGCAGGCACGGGACGTGGGGGCCAGATCTCCTTCGGGCACAAAGGCTGGCTTCTCGTAGTTGATGCCGATCTTGAAGCCGGTGGGACACCAGTCAACGAACTGAATGTGTCGCTTCGACTTGATGGCCGAGACGGCAGCATTGACATCCTTAGGCACGACGTCGCCGCGGTATAGCATGCAGCAGGCCATGAATTTGCCGGCCCGCGGATCGCACTTGACCATCATGTTGGAGGACTCGAAGCAGGCGTTGGTCAGCGTCGTGATGGCGTGCTGTTCGTGGGCAGCCCGCGAGGCGGACATCAGCGGGGCGTAGGCCACCAGGGGAAAGTGGATTCGTGGAAAGGGCACCAGATTCGTTTGGAACTCATTCAGGTCAACATTCATGGAGCCATTGAATCGCAGGGAGGCCGTCGTGGAGCTGACAATCTGGGCGATCAACCGATTTAGATTGAGATAGGCCGGCCGGTCCACACCCAGGCTGTTGTTGCAGATATCGTATATGGCCTCGTTGTCCACCATGAAGACGCAGTCCGAGTGCTCGATGGTCGAGTGGGTGGTCAGCAGGGCGTTGTAGGGCTCCACCACGGCCGTGGAGACCTTGGGCGAGGGGTAGACGGCAAAGTCCAGCTTACACTTCTTGCTGTAGTCGGTCGAGAGGCGCTCCACCAGCAGCGAGGTGAACCCGGAGCCAGTGCCTCCGCCCAGCGAGTGGAAGATGAGGAAGCCCTGCAGGCTGTCGCACTGTTCGGCGATCTTCTGCAGCCGGGACGTCACCTTGTCGATCACCTCCTTGCCAATGGAGTAGCGGCCGCGGGCATAATTGTTGGCCGCATCCTCCTTCCCCGAGATCAACTGCTCCGGATGGTAGAGACTCCGCATCGGTCCGTTCCGCACATCATCGATGACCGTCGGCTCCAGGTCGACGAATATGGAGCGTGGAACCTGCTTTCCGTTGCCCGTCTCCGTGAAGAATGTCCGTGCATCGTTAGCCGTGGTGTCGTGTCCCACACTGGCGCTGCTGCCGCTGGCCAACAACTCCTCTCTGGTCTTGGGGCTGCCATCCAAATTGATGCCGTGCTCGAGGAGATACAGCTCCCAGCAGGAGTTCCCTATCTGGATGCCGCACTGCCCGATCTGGATGGAGATGACTTCGCGCTAAAAAAGGAGAGCGAAACGAAAGGTAGAGAAGAAGAAACAAAGAAGAAGCCGCCATTGTTCGAGGTTATGAAAAGTAATCGGACTTCTGTTCAGAAAACTTCTTTGGCAGATCATCTGGGGAGCTCCCAACGAAATCTCTGTGTGAACTTTAGAACCACATCAATATTCAAGTTGGAATATCTCTGGTGTGCTGCAGAATGATCATAAAAGCGACTTTCCAGCATATTTTTCATGATTTATGATTTCTTTCAACATTTATGCTACTTTGTGCGCTTTATTCGACAGATTTGCATATAAATCTCACCATTTTGTGTTTTTACTTTTTGCAGAGCTAAAATATGGAAATACAATTTAAAATCAATTCACAAGGGGCCACGGGACACGGACGACTGCTTTACGTCTTTTGGATATCTTCTTATTCTCCTTTTGTACGTTCGTCCACGCCGCTCGAAGAAAAACTTGGAAGAGCACCGTTACGGAGCGCGCTCAAAGAGGAATGTCAAACTGCAGCAGCGTTGCCATTTATCCAAACTGCAGTCAGGGGAGGGAGCTGCCATCCTATTGCGATCGGTGCATTCGGTATAAAACTCGGATTTAATGAGCATTTATCGGGTTCGAAATCGAATTTAAAAACTTAAAAGTAGATGTAATAATATCATGGCTGGTACGGGAACTGGGCATTAATCCTTGCTAATGCCAGGTGGGAGCGTCACATCGAACACAATGGGTGGATTGTTGGGTAAATAATTGATGTCACATGTAGAGGCATTCACATAGATGATCCGCCCGTCGCTGGTGATGCCATAGCCCTCATGGACATGGCCGAACACATGGTACTTGGGCCTCACCCGCTGCTGGACCGTCGAGAGCAGCTCCACACAGCCGGCTCGCACGCCGGAGCAGCACAGATCGCCATGACCCACGGGCGGCGTGTGGGTGACGAGTATATCGACGCCCGCTGGCACTTGGTTCCACTTCTCCAGACAGGCGTCCCCACGCGGCACATTAAAGGCCCAGCGACAGAACTCCGGCTGCCAGGGCGAACCATAGATGCGAACGCCCCACAGCTCAAGCAGCTCGTCCTCCAAGTACGTGCAATTGGTGAGCACCTCGCGGATATTCTGCGTCTGCACGGCACTCTCCATGCTCTCCTTGGCATTGCCCAGCGTCGGCAGGTCGTCCAGAATGGACATGCCCGTGTGCTTGGTGCTCGAGTGTCCCTTGCCCTTGTTCTGAAACGGATGCGTGAACGTTCGGTCGAAGCTGAGCTCGTGATTGCCGGCAATCACAATCTTGTGTCGATGCGGCAATGCCCCTATCCACGTATTGAACTCCTCCACCTCCTCCAACTGGCCGCATTTGGTGAAGTCCCCTGCGTGTATGAAGATGTCACCGTCGGGCACATCGAATTTGATGTACGGCGTGAGGGAGTGCGTGTCGGACATGCAGACCACGCGCACCTTGTTGGCAGCCACCGCGTTCGTCGGCGGCTTCATTGTCACCTTGATGACGCGCTGCGTCTTGCTAATGTCCTTCCACGCAGCAGTTGGATCGCTGCTCAGCGGATGAACGGGCACTTTCGGCATTTCCATTGTTTTTCTACGAGAATCGAACGGAATTAGCATCGGGAAAAGGGATATTGGGATTGCTGGGAACTCACGATTTCTTTGTGGCACACTGTACACTGTACACTGTTTAAGCAAGTCAGTGAAATCACCCCATCGCATAACGCTGATTAGGAGGCATTTATTTATTTCTTCTTATTTCGTCAACAGTATCCGCGGACTTATCGATCATTTGTGTCGTGACGTCATACCAGCTGAGCGCCAATAATCATTGCGATTCTCATCGATAGTTTGTCGGACCAGGTGGCAGCGCCGCATAAACAAAAAACAGCTGGTCGGGTTCGTTCTGCTTCTTGTCCCATCGCGTATTTGTATAATCGTTAACAGTGTCCGCGGATTTATCGATATTCCGATTGATACTCAACAATATACTGTAAATATACTTCAAATCGAACTTTCTATGTATTAATTATATAGTGTCGTGACGTCATACCAGCTGAGCGCCAATAATCATTGCGATTCTCATCGATAGTTTGTCGGACCAGGTGGCAGCGCCGCATAAACAAAAAACAGCTGGTCGGTTTCGTTCTGCTTCTTGCCCCATCGCGTATTTGTATTTGTACAATTTTCATTTAAAAAATTAAACAAAATAGCATGAAAGCATAAGAAATATAGGTATACCACAGTGTAAAAGTGTTCCCAACCACAAGTGAGGGCAGCTGGAGTGCACAGCATCGGCGGAAGACAAACCGCATGCCTCGACATCAGCAGGCAGAAAAAATGGCCGCGGCTGCAACTTTCCCAGACTCATGTTTTTTGCGAAAAAACCAATTGTAACAACTGACTGTCCGAGACGTGTTTGTTTGCCAGGCCCTCCCGAAATTATTTCAAATGGAGGAGCAGCTGGAGCTGCAGGAGGATCTGCTTTCCCTGGACGGTGGTAATGGAGGAGTAGGAGACGACGTTGCAGGTGAGTGTCGTGTCGGTTGGGTTGTAAATGTTCTATTTCTGGCCAGGAGCACTTAAGTGTGAGTGTTATTTTTTTCGTCTGCCGACTGGGTGCAGCTTTTTGTAATTAGCTGCGTTTGTTTTTTTTCTGCAGTCGCTGCTAATTGTTTACGCCCACCTACCAGGCCCCAATCGTTCTGCCTTTGTCTGTCTGTGTGTTTGTGTTCTGGTGTGTGATATCGCATTTACAGTTAACAGTGCACAGCTTTCGGTCGTCTCTCTCCCCATTCTCTTCTCATTCCTCTTTTAGCTGTCTGCGTCGGCGCTTTTGCATCTGTTTATCCGTTTGTTTGTTTGCTGTGTCTTCCTCATTGCTTAAGTGATGATTCACTTTGATTGCACACGCACACACGCGGTCATACGACACCCGAACACATACTGAGGGCCATGTGAGCACATAATCAAATACAACAATTTATGGCTTTTTATTCACTGATGACAGTGGGGTAAAAGTTTTTAGAAAACGGTTTATTTTGGAAGTGGAAGTTTCAGAGAGAATTATAGATGTCTCGTGCCACTGTCCACACGTCTGGAGTGTTCTTGGTGTGGGTCTCCGGCATTTCGGTT